GTGTGTGTGTGTGTGTGTGTGTGTGTGTGTGTGTGTGTGTGTGTGTGTGTGTGTGTGTGTGTGCGTCGTCGTGTGTGTGTGTGTGTGTGTGTGTGTGTGTGTGTGTGTGTGTGTGTGTGTGTGTGTGTGTGTGTGTGTTAACATACAGGGCTGGGCCTATAAATATAAGTATGATTACGGATGATTACAGTGAGGAGGCGTTGTAGTCGCACGCAAGAGCCTAGATGCATGTGTCACGTTTGGTAAGAAGTTGTTAGACAAAATAACAGCATGTCGTACGAAAATCCCGTGAAATACCAATCATATAACTACTCGGCACGCGTCCGATACGATTTTCTACTGGGATTACTAACCGCGGTAATTAAGGGACTGTATAACACATTCGCCACCTCAACCCACTCCTCGATACCAATATACAGCTTCATCGCTACGTTCTCCTAATATATAATCAGGAGTGAATAATAATAGATAGAATGAATAATAATCTATTATTATTCACTCCTGATATCATCTCGTATTGATTGATTATCGATTATTCATTTGCCACACCCGGCTCATTTCAGGATACAGGCGGTTGTTGAGACGGGTCTGTTAGAGAAATGGAGAGAGGGTACTGGAAGGTATAGCCTCTCACATTGCTTCGAGCGCGATGACACGTCGGTCGCTGCTAGGCAGATCAGCTTGCGACAGATGCTGCCGGTGTTTGTCTTGCTGTTCGCGGGCTCCGCTGCCGGCCTGCTGCTCCTCCTAGCGGAGATTGTCGGCAAGAAGCTTTGCGAGAGATGGCGCCACCGGTCGCGAGTCGCGCCGCAACCTTTGCTACCGTAAATATCGTATAAACACGTGTTTTAGAATTATGGGATATTAAAAAAGACGCACACGCATACACGCACGCGCACGCACACACACACGCACACGCGCGCACACACACGCACACACGCACATCAAATTTGTTTTCTATGGCAAATTAATTGAATTGGGTTAATTAGGAACAACACAAAACAAAATTACACAAATAACTATTTAGGAAATGGCAATATATATATATATATTATCAAGAGCTAATAATACCTTTATTATTAGCTCTTGATATTATATATGGATGATTTTAGTAGTAACTCGTTCTCAATGAAATCATTAATTGTTCAATGTATTACTATCTGTTAATTATACATGTGATAGTGAGGTTGGTTTAATGATCATGGCTTTGCTTGTTTCCGATGATAATTAAAACTTAACGTGCTTTATTGTAATGTGTAGCTACTATCTATCTATGAAAAAATTTTGATAACATTAAAACTCCTTACTTCTATATTTTGCCGCAATACTGGTATTACTGGTATGTGTGATTACTATGCATCGTCAAATTTACTGTTAACATTCTCACATTCTTATCAATTTTATATTTAGTATTATTACTGCACTTAACATAATTTAGATGAATTTTCGATTTCTGTAATGGGTTTAATATTTGCTTATGACAAAAGTTTTATACACACACGTGTATATAAATATTTATTTATTGTTATTTATTTATTTGTATTAGAACCGCTTCAAACGTTTTTGGATAAATGCCGTTCAGAATACTGATGCAGATACAAACATTTAAATCCATGCATAAAGTGAACTGGTGTATATATCATCAATAATTGTGTATTACAGGTGACCTATTGAATATGAATTTCTTTTGAGAAATGGAACCACAAATGTTATAAATGCAATTTTTTGTCATTTACGTGTGTGCTACACGAATGTTTTAGGTGGATACGTGTAACAACAATAAAATAACATTGATATATTTAGTTGTTTGCCGAAAGTCCAACTCTGCCTTTTATTTGCATAATGCGTAATACCAACATGGCTATACCATCACAACACTCTCTATAACAAACCGAGTTTTGAAGAGATTTTCAAGCAACTTGACAGCATTGCCTTGACTTTAATCAAGCAAATGTTTAAGAAATTAGAATTTAAACGTAGATTATACAAACTGCAAGTCTTCTACTAGTCTAGTAATGTACAACCTACTTTCCGCATCATTTAAACACATCATGTTTCTGAACCATACACCTTATAAATATTATCATCATACTATTTACATTTTTTATTCCTTTCCTATATAAAGTACCTATCAGTTTAACAAAGCAAGTGTGTAAGGACTCTGTACTGATTATATTTAACATGTGATTTTCAAACAAATCAGCTTGATTGTCATCAATACTAACATAACATCAGGAGTCTTTCAATAGACTCTATTTATACTGATAAACTATATAGATCTATTGATAGACTCTATTGATCTATTGAAATAGATCTATTGATAGACTCCTGATAACATGCACAAAGGGTTATCTCACAGATGTGTCAGACTTCTTATATTATTTAATGCCCTCTACCCAATCTCTTTCATCCACACAAGGAAACGTTTTACATGTTAAAGTTGACCTAAACCTACAAATACTTCACAGCGCATGTGCTTCTTAACCGCTTCTCTTTAAACCACCATAACAACGTGAACGGGACGTGATTAGGAATGTACGACACCTTTCATCAGCTGCTGTTGCTCCCCAGTAGGGGTTTAGCAAAGACAGCTTCATATAGGGTGAGAGTGAGCACCCTAGGCATCACACAGTTACCAACATGCAATCACCCAGCATTTACTAATTATAACTATTCAGAATCAGAACAGCACGGGATGGGCACACGTTAAGTGGTGCATTTATTATCTAATAGGTTTAAATCTTTCTAATCCTAAATCAATAATTCTTTTCCTTCCTGCCTAATGTCCATCATATAAATTAAAAACGGTTTTTACATAGGAATTGCACTGGTAGGATATGCTGGGTGCGCAAGGCTGGGCCGAAGATAGTGCCTGTGGCGCCATCTACCGGCCATTTACCGACCTCATCCTCCTGCCATTGGTGGCGGTCCAGCGGGACCTAGAAAGAAGATCAAGATCAAGTAGTCATTTGAGAAGTGAAAACGCATCCAAAAAAAGTTAGAAAAAGAATAGAAATGGTTTCAGATTGCAACTGGAAATAAAATTTGTGGTTCATAATAAATCATTATGCTCGTACTAATGTTGCAACAGGGTGAAGGTATTGAGCACAGTCCAGAGCACGAAACGAGTACGAATGAATATTACACATATTCAATTTCAACCCATCTTCATATCGCAATATGATTCCTTACTGTTACACAAGCATTTTGAAATATCTTGGTTTGCACCAGTTGTAACAAGGTATTCATCTAACATGATCCCAAATATTTTTCACATACAATGTTCATGCCAAAGTTCCACACCACTAGTAGACGAGCAGATTTAGAAAAATATTCCATGTTGAGTCAAACAAATTGCAAAAGTTTGTTTTATTGTTGATTCTTGTTTATTAGGTAGTTCTTCATGACATATCCAAAATGGGACACAGGTTTCAACCCAGAAGTTGCCTAATTTGCATATTTGAAAATGGCCGCCATTCTCAAATTTTGAGGTTAATTATCTCTAAAAATATTCATTTTCAGTTCAGTAACTGTATTAGAGGTTAATAGATATATGACCCAATAAAACTAAGCACATATTTAGAAGGCGTCAACATGACTTTCTGATATTATTAGTTCGCGAGAGGTCCAGGATGTTGATAAATATCTGATCAAAATTTTCTATTTTTTAACCAAGTTACATGTATCAAGAAGCTACCTTAATAAAGAAGTAGACAACAGAAATGAAAACAACTGAGTGCAAATTGTTTGACTCGATAACCGTGGAGAAGAAAAAAGAAAAAAAAACAACGCTAGAAATAAAAAAAGAAAAAGAGAAAAAGAAAAAATAATAAAAAGAAAGAATTTTCTGAATATTGTCATCCTATATTAAAGGTAACTTATTGCCGAAGAATTTTTCCCAGTTTACAGTTGAGGAAGGCGTCATTCATCATGGATATAGACGAGGAGATGATTTGTGTTTTTGATGGGATTACCTCTGACCGAGTGCACACAAACCCCTCAAACCACTCACACCCTGGCCTCACACTCTTTTTTTTCCGCACGTTTCATGATTACTACCGTCTATTGCTTGAGTAACACGGGCAATTGTCTAGAGTAACGATAAAAATGATCTTAAGAACCTTCGTATTCACCAAAATCATCAGCGCCAGAGATCGATTACAATTTATGCGTTCTGTTTCTCTGATTTAACGCGTGCTGCGAAACAATCAGAGTGATACTGTTTTCGCAACATACAAGCGTTAGCTTTCCTGTCCACCGTTTATAGCTAACAGATAAAGTACACAACACCATCAACCATATGATTGGCAGTACGCAACGATATAATGCATGAGCAGAGGGCTATCGTTATAGCAGCAAGTTGCGGTAGTCCAAGATGCGACACCGTACCGCATCGCCAGAGGACAAGTTCACACTCACCTACACACGCAACACCACCTCAGCTAATAGCAAATATCTCACAACGTTTCGGAAGCTGGCGACACCACTCGCATCGACGCTGACTATTAACTCGTACACGCAACTACACACGCATAAATAGTTGCCTAAGACCATGCACAGACGACATCTTGTGTGAGATGGTGCGAAGATCTCGTATGCACACAGATTAAGCCGCATGTCTGGCTGCGGCTTCACAGGCAAAGCAGATAAGCAACTCGGACCAGCACCAAGAGGAAGGCAAGTTTTTCCATTCTTGCTAAAAATGATAGACTTGAGCCGCCTACCAACTATGGAGTGCCTGTATTCAACACTAAGCGTATTGTCGAACAATGCATGTATAAGCTCAAGCGTCGCAGCCGATATTTTTGCGCACATTACGCTTTAACCAATACGTTTCGCAACACCAGCAAACTCATCACTCGAACTCGAAGGCCAAACTGATCATCAGGGCCACAAGAGAAGCAGCTGAGGGCAATGTGCATCCTCCTTATACTAGAGGGCACTTCCATACACTGATGTCGTTTCTCGGAAGCATTAGGGCCATTTATGAAGTCGAGTGCTTTCTCACCTTGCATCCGAGTTAGCCTTTGCGGTACAGCCCACACACACACACACAACACAGTGCACAGCATGATGCTCAGGCGGAAGGCGTAGTGCAAGAAGCAGTCAGGGACGCACTTTGGTGGATGCCTCTAATCGCAGTCCTTTTGAAGTAGGAAGCCAACGAACAGGTAGTGGCCCATGCTAATCAACACGCACATGTTTTGACGAGGTTTTCGGCGCTGAAACACATGTATTGAAACAAATGATGATATTATCGCAAGCAGCTCAACGATACAAGCACCTTTTCGCAGAAAGCAAAGCTCTGACATATGCTGCAAGCACCACACATGGGCGCAGTTATTGAATAAAAAAACGAAAACAATTGATCTTCTGAGATGCTGCACTCCGAGCGACACTCATGCGCTAAATACACGCCCGCACTGGCAAAGCTTCATACAGCATCACTGCACCTGAAGTGCCCTGAGATGACTACTCAATTAACCGCTTCAACAGCAAGTGGGCAGCACAGTTATGCTAAGATCCGTCTATGCATGTTCCTGCAGGAACATGCTCGACCCAGAGGCAAGAACAGTAGTGTTTTTTCAAGAGTTTATTGGCATGGAAATATGATTTGTCTAAGCAGCGTAGCGATCGAACTACATGCTGGGTGGCTTATCTGTGCAATCGATGGTTGATATTGCGCAGGTATTGAAAGAAAGTCTCATAAACGAGGGCAAACGGAGATATGAGGACATAGGAGGGGGACTAGACCGAGACACAACGGCAAGGGTGCTGCTGCGATGTATTATGCAGCAGAATAACAACCGAAGATGGGAAGCTCAGTAGGCGCCTACAAGAAACACAGGACAGTGAAGTCAGTCACAAGTGAATAGAATGAGAGAGATATGGCAGATACAGCAAGTCATTACTTGAATACCATTGAAAGCCATTACCGTTCCAAGAGATGATTACTTGTTGATCAGTAACATAATAAGCAGAGCATTGCTCAAGTGTGTCGGCGAACGCTCACATGCTAATGAAGATATAAGGGCAGTCCATCATTATCCAAGCATGAGAGGCGAGCAGGTTACCCAAATCATGTCCGTTCAAAGAAAAGAACAAGTCAACAGTGTTTTGGGAGTGGGGCAAAGCGAGTATTTCGCGATGGAGAGAATAGTGGTTCGTCGATGCTTGCAGCGTGCTCTCGTAGAGACGATCGCCTGATCGCATAGGCACAATAACACTGATATCGATCTAATGAGGTTTTCTAGAATACGAGCTTGTCCGCTCTTATCGGTCAGGCGCATGCCTTCTTTACAAAAGCATCGGCTACTAAAGTGCTGTACATGAGAAAAACGCAAAAGCTTGGCGGATGCTATTTCTAAACTCTGGCAGTGAGCACACAAGACATTAATCATCAGAAGGCCAGAATGGCAATGTTTTAGAATGGTGGTTCTCTGCTACACGTTTGGCCATGGTGCACAGGGGGATATGTATAGACAAAAATAATCAACACATATATACGTGTGGTGGCAAAGTATGCCCACCAATAGTAGTGTGTATGGACTGGCTACTCACACGAAACAATCAGAGAGCAGTGCACATACCAAGCGACGTGGGCAGGCGGTCAATCCTCAGGCAAAAGTAAAGACTGCGCTCTGATTACCATTGAAGATCAGATAAGAAGACATCTCCTGATGAAGCAATCAACAAACAAGCAGTTCATGCAACATGCTAGCTGATGAACATGAGGAAAACAGGAACAAGACGACGGCGTATCTGTTGATTTGTTCGCAGACAGCCGTGAACATGGCGTGTAGGCGAGACGACCATTTGTCATTGCAGAGATACTGACATCCTTGTGCTCTTGTGCAACGGCACCATATACCAGGTACCAAGCTTGTTCATGAGTTAGGAAGAGTGCAACTTAATAGGGAGACCACTGTGGAACGATCCAGCGACATGAGCAATTTTAGGAAGGCGCGCCTATAGCACATACGCTACCATAGCTGCATGCGTGTATGTGGGTGCGATAGCCACAGTCTGGACTCCATGGGATGGCAAAGGTTTGTGTGCTAGGCTAAGAAATCGGACGAATCTAATGCAGATAGGTGAATGCTTCATGTCAAGTTTATTTAGGCGCATGATAAAATCAGAGATGCTCGGGCGGCAAAGCATTGGTATGTGTGTATGGTAGACAAGGTACCAGCTTGCAATAGTGCTACGTAGCAAAATGTTTGGTGACTAAAGGGTTGTGAAGAGCCCTCAAGACGTGTCGACATCAAAAGGCTGGCCACGCGAGCAGAAGATGCTGCGCAGTTCCATTGCTTATAGAGTCTTTGCTAGCAGACTCATAGTTATGGATAGGAAAAACGTAGGCAGAAAAACCGGGAAAGATTGGGTGGTGTGGAATAGGGGCCCAAGTGTGAAAGTTTTGAATGCCGCCGAGAGAATGGACACCCCAAGCGCAGCTCGCTGATTGCGCTACTGAGAGTAATTACGTTGCAAATGTAAAGAGTATTGTGACACAATGATATGTTTCGTGCAAGAAGAACAGGATGTTCTGGCAGATGAGTCTGGTGGAAAGTGTCAAGAACGGACTTTGTAGGCACAGAACATGCCATTGGATATGTTTGAGTAGCTTAAGTGCTACCATGATGGTATCAAAGGATTAACTGTAATATATCAGTGTGTGCTTATTGCAATTATTGCAATCTGAACGTGTGAGTTTTCATCCCCACCCTTGATTAATGCTTGTCATTTTTCCTTGTTTTGGTTTTTAAATAGTCGTCACGCGGACATATCTTTTGACGCTATTTAAACCTAGCTGTTCAAAGAGGTATTGGAGCTTTGTAAATATGTATTTTACATCATTGGGCCAGATGTTTCTATTCAGCCTATAGTAGCGTTATTGGCTGAAAATGATAGTTTGAGAGATAATTGGGACCTCACAAACGGTCTGAATGACAAATACGACAGATACTACAGTGACAATATAATGGGTTGATAACTTGTGTCCATTCTTGGACATGTCATCAAGAGTACCAATGGTACCTCGAAGGCAAAACGGGCGAAAAAACTCCAGCCCGGACCATCACCCATCCGCCAACAAGGATAATAGACCCGACGGAGTAAAGAATAGGATGCAAGGACAAAAATAACTAGGAGAACGCTGGCACTGCAAAAATCATGATATACACAACCGCCAGTGAGTGATGTGGATCTGGGGCGAGCGCGCCTGCACTCATCATGAAGTATAGGACGAGGAAGATGGTGAGATAGTCTGGGATGCTGCATCATCAGGATATAGAGCGAGGAGTGATGGTCGAGATAACCTGGTTGAGGCCTGCCCACCAAGAATCAACAAAATAAAAACAAACCTTTCTGCCAATTTGTTTGACTGAAAAGTTCGCAAGAGATACTGCTCGTCCTATAGAGTTATACACTTATATATAGCTTAATTATGTTTCTTATACATTAGCAGAAGTCATACATATGACGCTCTTGAACGTTTCGAAATTATAAAATGGAAAGGCAAGATGGTGGAAATTGAAGGATAAATGAAGGTGGAAAGGATAAAAAGAATGATGGATAAAAAGGCGGTATGAAAGGATAAAATGGAAAATAAGGGCGAACAAAATATAAAGTGAAATACCTGTTGCCCGTCTAAACCCGCCCATTCTCCGTCCAGGGCCTCCTCCTCCTCCTCCTCCTCCTCCTCCTCCTCCACCTCCTCTGCTGCTGCTACCCGGCTTATAGCTTGATTCATAGCCTCGGCCATGTTTCGTCAAATCCGGCTGAAACATGGAATTAGTCCAACTAAACAACACCACACGATTGCAATCACTACACAAAAGAATGCACACTTGAACTGAAAGCTACTATTCATTGTACTATTACTATTCTATTGAAGTTACTTTTCATTCTTTACGGTTTAAAATTATATAACAAACGATTATATAAAGATGCCTATAATTATTATAAAAGTTAATGCAATGCTAACTTACCTGAATCATAGTTTGGAAGCTAGAACAAAAACAAATCTCAATCAGAATATATTCAAGATTAAAAAATGCATTATGCAGATTTATAAATTTAAATGTAATTTTAAAATACTTTTAAAAGCTAAACATTGCCATCTAATGTACAATTTTAATAATTGCTAAAATTAAAATTGATACTTCGTGTTGTTTATAAGTATATAACCCTACTGTGAAATTCACATTAGGCTGTCAAATATCAAAGCTGGGTACTAAATAAAAGCTCTGATACAAAATCATTTGCATTTATCAACAGTTCTTTACAATTCGAATCGCAACCTTCGAAGCAGGTGTAACAGAGGTTTGTTCATCATACATTTACATACGCGTGCTAGTCCACACGTATGTTTGTTTTGCCACTCGGGTTAAAACGTAAGGGACACACAACTTTGCTATTACTACTAAAATTGTCATGTGACCACAGTGTTCTTTATAGACTTGTTGCCGGTTTAAAATTGTTCCGAAATTTTAAAATAAAGGGAGCAAAAATGACGATAAATACTTACAACAAAACGATGAAATTAATAATTCCCCAGAAGATATTTGGTATAACTGCCAAACTCCAAGTGTTAGATGAGCCACCTACCGTTCCATCTGCAAATAGAATTGAAGCATACCGTATAACATGAAAATCAGCGCCTTTATTTCGAACATAATTTCCGACCAGTCTCGTGTTTTCCCCACTTTTACGACAATTACCGTTATGACTTGAGCAACAGCAACTGTCTAGAGTAACTATAAAATGTCTTAAAACCTTCATACTTGGCTATATTCTCCTAAACATGTACGGTCCAAATTTTGATTACCGCCGCCATTCTTGCGAATCTCGGACTATCTCGCGATCGAGCAAGATATCGGCCAAATCCAAAATCGAAACGGAGTAAACTATCTGTGGCAATTGGCCTGGCAAAAAATCTTTCAGTCTTGTAAAATATCTACTGGCAGTCCTAACCCTAACTTCAACTAGGCTATCAGATATTCTACGGTCTAAATCGATCTAGTAATAGTAAGACTAAAAATCTAAGATAAAAACAAGCAAGTAATATTACTAATAAGATTAAGAATACACGTACTCTCAGATATGTACACCATGGTCACGGTCTCTGGCCTCTCGCCGCTTCGGGTGCCCGGACGGAATTGATCACGTGAGCTGGAATTCACAATATCCCTAGATTAAGACGCGTCTTAAGACTCTATTAACATTAAATATCAGCGATTATGCTTAATAAGAAACGCTGATAGGGTCCTATGTCCCCAGCGGTAGAACTGCCAGAAGTTACCTCGAGAGGTACGGGTCCGGCTAATACGACTGGGAACTACCCTCACGGGTAACTTATCTAGCAAACCTGATATGGTTAGTGATTTAGGCGTTAGTTTTTATGTAGATGTTAGAGTCTAATTGCCGTGGGTTGGTGGAATTAGGCGGTTAGGAGTCAGGCGTTAGGGGACTCCGCATAGACTCACTTTGTTAGTGCTTAGGACGCAAGAGTACGCGTCCGGCCATTAGATAGTAGATTATTTAAACCAGGGTACATTCCGAGATTAGTACCGGACCGTTAAGACCCAGGTGGTCCGGGGGCAGTTCTAGGCAGTACCTGGTGGAATAGACCCTAATCAGCAATAACTAACGAGCCAGGCTGGTGTGACTGAACGTATCAAATATACGTGGGTATTCTGTATATACGTCAATATAACAGGGGTCGTATTCTAACCTAGCAATACGTTTCTTTGGAAGCTAGCGCTTAAACCATGACTCAGCCTCCATGCTGCGAGCTACGACGTGTAGCCGCGACCAGGGCTATGCCGAACACGTTGTCGTATACAGTCCTGAACACCCTTCCATAACAAAAACCTATCACCTCTGCAGATCTGATGAATAATCTGATATATCTAAATTAAAACTAATTCTAATTCACCACGCGCTAGTTGATTGACTCTTGTTTGAATATATGAATGTTAATCTACACAGTGTGTCTGCTTCTAATGAATGGTATTCTCTTGAATTTCATTGATATTAATCTGCTAAAGTTATCACAAGCTCAAGTCAACTTTCAATCTCGAGCTTTAACCGCGACTGTTTACAACTCGCCATGAGTCTAATGGAAGTCGAGAATCGCGAAACCGCGAATGAAAAAGCAATAATACTCGTAGAAATGACTACAAGAAATGCAGCTCAAATCAGACCTGCACGATGGCTACATAACTACAAGGCAAAATTACACACCAAAGCAAGTGTAACGTGATTCCAACTGTCTGCCAAATTTGTACAAACTTTATCGATGAAATGTTCTCGAGATGGTATGGGTGGTTTTAACAACTGGGACCGCAGATCGTTTTATTTCCCTTGTTCGAATCCATCGCGATTTAGTCAGTCGATAATGATTAGCAAAAAATGGTGGACATCTCAATAAATTTGGCTTGATATTTAACGTCTCAAAAAAGTCGCTGGTGCTACCCGTTAAGTCCGCGATCGTAGGCCCTGAATGAGGTCAAAATGAAGTGGATGTTATAAATATTCATTTTCGATATATCACAATTTGAAGTGTCTTAGTGCGATTACTTCCGCAGAATCAAGACAAAAGTCGATTAGCTTGCAGAACCAATGTTTGAAACGGTATTCTAACCCTAGCAATACCGTTTCTTGGAGCTAGCTACGATGAAGAGATGACGTAAACACTAATGTCATGACAAAATCAAGTAGCTAGTTTTGTTTACGCTACACGTTACGCTACACGCAAGTCCTGATAGGCCTTGGCTACTACTAACTGTGCACGTATACAACATTTGTAGCTATCGAAAAATATATGTAAGCTATTTAGAATGACTAAGTTAACAACCAAACCTTAGTAATATCGTGAAAAATCGAGTCACCGAATGGGTGAGCTGACAGGATCCTAATTCGATCGTAATGCCCTCTATCGGAGGCACAAACTAACTTTAATTTTTTATTTTATTTTATATAATACATAAATATAACTATATATATATATTAAAAAAAAAAAATATAGATCAGTGGGTCACAACACACCCTATTAGGCAATAAGGGTAGTTTTGCTTACAATTTTCTATGCGCTCAGATTAGATGTGGATGACGTTATTATTATTATTATTATATTATGTTTCAAGGTTCAAGATTCAAAGAAATTTATTTGTGCATAAGACGCATAAGTACAAGTTATATACAATCGCACATTGATTATAAATCCGTGAACGAAAAAAACAAATACAATCATTACTAAATGAAGCACGGGGACGGCGAAAAACCCGCAGGTCATCAAAGTCAGCTGCCCTTATAGAATTATAGTTATTATGCAGACGACTGAATATTTATAGTACTTTAACAATTTTTATAGGTACTTTAACAATTTGAGTCAAGACAAAGTACCTAAAATTATTCAGTCGTCTGCATAATAACTATAATTCTATAGGGGCGGCTGACTTTGATGACCTGCAGGGTTTTCGCCGTGGTGGTTTTTCACACTATGTAGGAGAGGAAATCCCAACGTACAATAACGGAGTTAATTTCGGCATTTTCTCTCATTGTTTTGGGAAAAATGCTAGACAGGTCTGTGAGGAATGAAGTCTACAAAATGTTAAATTTAAATATTATATTGATCGCTGCCAACTATGAGACTTCAGCAAGTAACATTTGAGAATGTTTTCTATTCAAATTAATCAAAAACGAAAAATCAATGTATTTGGCCTGTAAGGGAAAATCTCTTCTTGCGACTTCCGACTCATTTTGCCAGAGCGGGTCACAAATTGTATAATGCTCATCCAAGACACAAAGCAATTGAAAAATAAAATAGTATTTTCTGCATGTGTATTGTCGAATGATGGTACTTTGGTATATATTGTTTTATTTTGTGCATAAACTTGTGCACGACAATAGTCACAGATACATCGTTATGACGGTACACCTCACGGTCACCTGGGCATAATTAAAAATGGCTACATGTACATATATGACATTTAGTGTGGCCAGCCACCTAACTTTAGTAGCCATTATATACATGGCTGATGTCACATACTGGCACACACTGCCGTCATCGTAGTAGCCTAACGACGTCAGAATACTAGCTTAGGAACATGGGACCATTATATATGATAAAGGCACAGTCATAAACGTAACACTAATATCAAATTAGTATCAAAAATAGTTCTGGACCAGCAACAAATGTTGTCTTTGTCATGCATCAACAACTGGAGGCTGAATATTGCGGGTAAAGGTCACTGTTTCCACCTCGCGGTTTCCGTAAACGGTTCCATCGTCATCTCCCCGTCA